CAGATGCGCCTTGATGAAAAGAATAGATACCTAAAATTCCATATAATTTATATTTTTAAAAAATAATTAAAATTAAAATACGAAATAAGGGTAAGGTTACAATTTTTGTCCCTGGGTTTTCATGAAACTATATCTTCAGATGATAAATATAAGCATTTGGGTCGTTGGTTTACAAATCTAGAGCGTGGCTTTCAGGCTACAATCATTTGGGTAGTTTATTTCTAGAGAGTAATATTCTTTTTTTCAAAAATCAATCTCTATCATTCAAAGGTGTCTTCGTCATTGGAAATCCATTAAAAAATTCAAGCAACCAATCTTCACCATTGAAATTTCATTCAAGAATTCCATTAAAAAATTCAGCCATTTTCCATTATAAAATTCAAGCAACTAAAAAGGCACGCATATGCTGAAAACCATTTTTGGGAAAATAGATTTATCTAATATTCTGAAAACCATTTTTGGGAAAATAGATCTTTTCCAATATTTCAAAAATTTCTGTGAGCGATATTTACACAAGGCATGAGAGATAACCTTACAAACTATTCCCAATTACAGTTTGCTTTTCATAAACTTATAAACTATTCCCAATTACAGTATGCTTTTCATTCCATTGAAATTAAAATATGAATAATATATTTTGCATATTTATTTTCATGATGACCACATGTTTTTTAGACTAAATACAACAGAAATATAAACTACAAAATTAGATTGGAAAAAAAAAGCTTGCCACAAAAACTATGAATTTAAAAATAGCATAACATAAGACATACCGATAGAGAAGGAGAGGGATAAAGACTTCCTTTTATTGCTTCACTTTATCTCTTCAACGATAGGGTCTCTAGGATTTTAGTCCTCTTGAACGATATATTCTCGAGGGAGAACAATATGATCTTATTAGGTGATACGGTCTCAAGGTAGAACGACATGGTCTCATTACGATATAGTCTTATCAAGCTTTCAATGATAACGATATGGTCTCGAGGGAGAACGATATGGTCTCATTAGGCGATATGGTCTCGAGGTAGAACGATATGGTCTCATTACGATATAGTCTTGTCAGGCTTTCAGTGATAACGATATGGTGTTGTTACGCTTGTAGTGATCTTGTCAAGCTTTCAGTGATAACGATATGGTCTTGTTAGGCTTTTGGTGAGAGAGAACGATATGATCTTGGCTTGGTTTAAGTGAGAGAATGTGAGTATGAAAAGAGAGTAGAGAATGCCGAAAGAGAAAATTGTAGAAAAAGAGAGAGAATGAGCTAGAGTATATAGAGTATAGCGAATGAGGATAGAGATTGGCTTGGTTTCAGTGATATGGTCTTGGCTTTTAGATAATGTGAGCAATGTGAGTATGATAATATGAGTAATGTGGCTATGAAAAGAGAGTAGAGAATGAGGAAAGAGAAAATTGTAGAAAAAGAGAGAGAATGAGCGAGGGTAGAGCCAATGAGGAAAGAGAAATTGTTATATAATAGACATGCACATTGGTACATGTGGGAGGCTTCGAATTTAGTAGGAGGTTTGAATTTTGCAAATAACACACCTTTTTCATTTTTTGGCAATTTGAATTTAAAAATTTCACTTTTTTTTGTGTCATGTATCTCTTTATATCATAATATCTCTCAATGGCCATAGTAATTACCCATTCTCTTTTTGGTGAGGAGATGGGTCATGTATCTCTCCATATCATAATATCTCTTCATAGTAGTTACCCCTTCTCTTTTTGGTGAAGGGATGTGTCATGTATCTCTCTATATCATAATATCTCTTAATGGTAGTTACCCTTTCTCTTTTTGGTGAAGAGATTCAACGATCTGGTAGTTTGGATCTCAACAGTCATAGTAGTTATCCTTCTCTCACAAATTTCTATTAGGATTTAAGAAGCTTCTTAGATGCGGAAACATGAATCCCAAAAATTGGATCCTACCTCGATCGTGTACTTATCTTGCTAGAAACAAAATTGGAGAGAGCACGAGTCATAGTACTAGAAATAAATCATGAACACACATGCCACAAAAACATAAAGGTTTACGTGGTTCACCCCAAGAGGGCTACATCCATCGGCATGGCAAATTGATCTCTACTAATACTAATGAAAGTTATTATTATATATTTTGGGACATAGAGTTACCTCTATAACTCTCGACAAAACCAGTCAAATAAACCCTCGACAAAACCCTTTTAAACCCAGTCTGTCCATCGGCACCATCGTCGATATTTCATCTGTATTCTCTAGGAAGAGACCATATCCATTCCACTGTTGAACCATTGTCTAGGAGATGAACCTTGAGAGAAACTGATACTTTCTCTATGTAAAAGGGAAACCACCCAAAATCTTCATGGGAACTGTTTATTTACAAAAAACCAGCCTCTCAATTTACGTAAGGCACAACTATGACGTTTCTCTCTGTAGGAAGCTCTCTTCTCTTTAAGGGAGGCCTTGCCGATGCTGACGAAGCCCTGCCTCTCTCTCTATAAGAAGGCACCTTTTTCATATGGTGACCCAAATAGGGCACATAAATTATCGATGCTTTCATTCCATATATATAAGGTTAGGAATCCACATCAAATAAGAAACTTCATGTATGTTACATATATCTTAAAAACCAAGATATATATATAGAGTAGTCCTAATCTTTTTGGAATTCTATTTCATTTAAGAAACTCATCAATATCAATCTCAATCCTATATAATATGGGATTTCCTAACGTAGAGGATTTTGAATAATCACCATATCCAACAGTCTCCACCTTGATATCAAAATCACCTGCTCTCCATGCTAACATCCAATGGATAGCTTTTAGTTTTATGAATTCATCATCTTTTGCCAAATAAATTTATCCATCATTCTTGTTGGAAAAATTGTGCTTACCATCATATTTCTCTGCTTCAAATAAAACGCTCACATACTTTGTCATGTGTTTTTCTTTGACCAAATGCACAAACACCAGACTTGTATTGAACTTTATGCTCTGATACCACTTGTTAGGATTTAAGAACCCTCTTAGATGCGGAATACCATATGTTATGATTTAAGAACCCTCTTAGATGTGGAAACAAGAATCCTAAAAATTGGATCCCACCAAGATCGTGTACTTATCCAGCTATAAACAAAATAGGAGAGAGCACATCCAGCTAGAAACAAAATAGGAGAGAGCACATCTAGCTAGAAACAAAATAGGAGAGAGCACAAGCTATAGTACGAGAAATAAAACATGAAAGGTACACTCCACAAGAACACGAAGATTTACTTGGTTTACCCCAAGAGGGCTACATCCACGGGTACGACAAACTGAAATCTACTATACCAATGAAAAAATTACATTACAGATTTTAGGACATAGAGTTAACTTTATAACCCTTGACAAAACATAGGCGAGTAAACCGTTTTAGACCTAGTCACCCCATCAGCACTATCATCGACCTCTCATCTCTATTCCACAATTGAACCACTGTCCAGCAAGAGACTTCTCCATTCCACATTTGAGCTTGTATTCCACAATTGAACTACTGTCCAAAAAGAGACCATCTCCATTCTACAGTTAAACCATTGTCCAATAGGAAAACTTTGAGAATAACCAAAACTTTCTCTCTTTAAAGGGAAAACAACCACCTTGAGAACAATTGAGACTTTCTCTCTTTAAAGGGGAAACAACCCAAAATTTTTATGGGAACCACTTCTCTACAAAAAACCAGCTTCTCAATTTACATGAGGCACATCCGTGGCACTTCACTTCGTAGGAAGCTCTATTCTTTCTAATGGAGGAGAAGGGGAAACCACCCAAAATTTCTCTGTATGAAGCTCTGTCCTCTCTAAAGGAAGAGAAGTGGAAACTACCCAAAATCTTCATGGAACCACGTGTTTCTCTTTGTAGGAAGTTATTTCTCTCTAAGGGAGGCCTTGCCAATGGTGATGAGGCCTCTCTCTCTAGAGAGAGCCACCTTTCCCAACCCAAATAGGGCATACATAGTCTCTACGCTTTCATCCTCTAAATATCTATATGTATATATATATATATATATATATATATAAAATGAGGAATCCACATCAAATAGAAATGTGTTACATATATCTCAAGAACTGTGAGATATATCCAGAGTACTAATAATATGGGATTTCTTAATTTAGATGATTTTGGATAATCACTGTATCCAACAATTTTTATATCATAATATCTCTCAACGGTCATAGCAGTTATCCCTTGGTGAAGAGATTCAACCGTCATGCTAATTATTCCTATTTTATCCTTTTATTTTTTTTCTCTCTCATAGTAGTTATCTCCAGCTTTTTTTTGGTAATTTGAACTAAAAAACTCACACCTTCCCACTAACGTATCACTCTATATCATAATATCTCTTAGCGGTTATATTAGTTATCCTTTATTTTTGATATCATAATATCTCTCAACATTCATAGAAGTTGTCCCTTTGTTTTTGGTGAAGAGATTCAACGGGTCATAGTAACTATCCCTATTTTTTTCTCATAGGTGTAAATAATGTCTTACAACACAAGATTATCACACCAACAAAATGAAGCAACCATTCATAGATTAAGGGCCCATTTATGTTTTGGATTTTGTGAAAGTCCTTTGAGCTGGCTCCTGGAAAAATTTGTTCGAAGTGAGAGCGTTTCCATCAGCTTGGGAGCCTTTTCACCCCTAACCATTTATGAAGTGGCTCTCAAACAATGGAAGGTATACAAAAAGCTAAGAAGAAAGGCTAAGAAAACTACTTCTCAAGTACTAAAATAATTTCCACTTTCCAAGGAAACAAACATGAAAAAGGGCCGCATGAGGGGAAATAACTTTCTTACCCCAATCAAACGTGAGTTTCTCGAAGGGAAGAGCGGGAATGCGCCACGTTTGGTGGTGGTAAATTTGAGCTATTGGGTAAATTAAATTCCCTGAAAAACATCGTCTGAGAGGTAATTTATTTCATTCTAGATTCTCTAGATGCGACTGATCGTTTCTCCCACTTATCCCCCAAATGTGCACGTTTTCCTTTTGTAATAGTTAGCGAGAGAGAAGTTTCCAGATGCCCAAGTCTTCCTGTGCTCCTCTTCATGTAGCCGGCAACCTCTCCCTATAATTTTGTGTTTCTCCTGCGGTTGACTCTAGAGAGAGAAAGAGAGACTTTTAGAGAGAGAGAGAGGGTGTTTTCCAGCTGGTCATGGCAGACGATGTGGTGAGAAAAGCTGCGGATGCCTTTATCGATGAAGAGTTCGGACTTGCAGTGGATCTTTACACCAAGGCTCTGGCCATGGAGCCCAAGAATGCAGACCTCTTTGTCAAGCGAGCAAAAGCCAATATCAAACTCAATAATTTCACAGGTTTTCTCTTCTTCTTTTGCTGCTTTTTGAAATCCTCATTTTCTTGCTTCTATTTAGGTCTGGGCTTCTTCCTTTTCCATTCCGAAACTCTCATTCTCTAGCTGAAACTCTCTCTGCTTGTCTGATGGTTTGAATTATCTCATGTATCTTTGAATCATGCGAGCTGTTAACCTGTTTTTGTTGTATATTGAACTTTGTAAACCATACGTGTGGAGCTTTTTTTTTATTCTTTGAGGATTAAGGGACCGAATTAATTAAGTGTAACAGAGTTCCCATTTTGTGGTTCTCGCTAATGTCCTTCGGTGTCTGATAATGTTAAGAAACCGATGTCAATAAAGTATGATTTGGCATCTCTGGAATGCTTCCTGGATTATATGTCCTTGTATGATGCATTAAGTTTGTTGTCACGTTTGAAACTTTGCGTTCATTTCTTTCTTGACAAGCCTCTGATCTCAGTTTCTGGTCTCTATTCATTAGGTATTCAGAATCAGGGGGCTTTATGATGTCCTACTATTCGTTTTTGCATAGGAAGATGGATTTGTTTTTGTTGTCGAAACAATATTACTTAATTTGGCTTGTTTCTAACCCACTTCTTTAAGGACATGATATGGTTTCTACTTTATTTATTAAGTCACTGAAAGTTTGTTTGTGATATAGTCTTTAAGCTAGAAAGGCATTAAGTATTGGCAATGTATTACATAAACTAGCCTCAAGGTACAGTTGCGAGTTGAGATTATCTACTCCCTGTTTATAATAGTTTGAACATGAGACCGAACTAAATGTCAAATGGGATCTTACCCAACTTCGCTTGGCAAATTTGCTCAAATGCATAGTGTAATCAGCACCGTTTCTTTATCGTGGTAATACTGCTATCCTAGAACGGTTGATCCACTCTGAAATAGCTAACTCGAGAGGATTATTATATGGATTCCTAGACAAACTATTTTTGAAAAGATTCATAACATGAGAAAATGCGGAATGGAAAAAGGTTTGTTCAGTTGGAAAACGGGGAAAAGATGAATTTAATTTGGCAGTCCATGGCAAACAAAGTTATGCTGTATCATACTGGCATAGAAAATTCCAAACATGTTTTACAATCTATAGTCTCATATTTATAGCAAGGGATGCTGGGTTTTAACCCTTGAATCATGCTTATGAGGTTTCTTGTTATTCATTTCTGGATATGATTGTTGAGTGTGTGGGGGTGGAGGCCACTTGCACATTATAAGCATGACAGTCTTTCACTATGTTTTGTTACATTTTGTTACAAAGAAAAGAAGCTAACATAAACATTATGTTTACAAGTATTTTGAAATACTTATTTTACATATTTATCATATCATTTTCAATATTTGCAGTCCATGTGTACATCTCTACTACTTTGCTGCAAATGTTAAGTTTAATATATTGTCATAAATGGCGTGGCTACTCAACTCTTGCACGTCGCTTCTCTAACTTCTTGCTTTTGTTCAAATAAGTGGTGTTTCTTGTCAAAATACGCTTCTTCATATTTTGTCATTCTATTACTTGTTCTTTTTGTATATGTAGTCACATTTATGTACCCATTAAAGTTATAAACTTGAATTTTATCATGGTACTGTTCGTAAGGACTGAACTTTGATCACTTCTGTTTTTGCGTGTAGGTTTACCCAACAATTTAAACTTTGAGTTTTACTTTTTTTTTCTTCTATTTGAGTCAGTATCAAATAACTACCGGACTCTCATATTACTGCTCAAGATGTGCTGGTGACGTGTCGAGAAGAGGCTTATCTTTTAATTACCAATAACTGTGTTCTAGATACGTTTTAGATTGGGGTTTTGTGTTCATTGATGATACTACAATGCCATGCAATTATCTTGTCGGCCGAAATTATGTTTCTCTTCTTATATAAATTATGTGTCAATATCTAATTGATCACCTAGATTCTTTGAAGCATGTCTACTGTGCTTATGGGAAAGTTTACAACTATGCCTCTCTGCATTTTCTAGAGTGGAACATTTTACCCTTAGTTTTATGTGGCTTCTTTAGTCTGGTATTATTATTGGCCTTATTTTTGTGGCAATATCATCATATTTTACATAGAGGCATGGTGGTATCGTGTGATTGGCATTTTTCCTTGCTCTTCTTACATAATAGGCCTTGGAAATTGGATCTTTTTTTTTTGTTTGATATATAAACTGATCATAAACCAATCATCAAGGTTAGCATAGATCTTTCTCTTTTTAAAAATGATGATCCACATATTATAACTGTTACTTCAGTTCCATGTTCTGTTTCATTTATGAGAGGAAACTCATACTTCAGTTCCATGTCTGCCATTGATTTGTTTGCTAGCCTATTTAATTGGGAAATTGTATAAAGTTTGATGGTATGTTGTATGTTCTTTTTTTGAGTTAAGTACTTGTTCACAACTTGGAAGCTTGATTTCTCATGGTATCAAGTGCATGAATATGAATATTTGAACAAGGAGGAGGTACCAGAAAACATTAAGTGGAATTACCTGAGAGCCTCTGAACAATTACCTTGCAAGTGTGAGTGCTAAATTGTAGGAGAATCTGGCTTCTTTCCTTTAGTAGTGCTGGAATTTAGAGTAATATTTGGGATGTACATTGGTGGATTTACTTGTTGCACATTCTTTTGTAATGATTGATTTTTCTAATCAATTGGGCTCTTCTTCTTTACATGCTTATGAAACATTTGCTTTATACTGTGCTATATAATTTGATATTCCTCCTTCTTGGATGCGTTATTGGCATGAAATCTAGAGTACTATTACTAGTAGTGCTACATTACATTTGAAATTCTAGATTTATGAATTTTTGATGCTGCAAACTTGTTAAAGTTGGTTTCCTTTTTAAAACCTTTTGCTATATATAGTGTTATGCAGTGTCTGTGTTCGTGGGTGATTTATAGACATCATCGTAAGAGTATTGTTAGTAACAAAGGAACCTACTCCCTCCCCCACCCCCCCATCCCTTTCCAGCTCCATTATCCCTTTGAAACCCCTTCTGCACCCCTACCCTCCTCCTTCGTCCCTATCCAGCCACTCACTATGCTGGTTAGCCACCCACCAAATCCTACTCGCCCTCCCCACACTAAGGACCTTCCCAACCCATTCCACCCCAATGTTTTAAAATGCGGCTGTATCGCCGCATATGCGGTCGCATCAGAACTTACCGCATATGCACTTTTGACCTATGCGGCCTCATATGCGCCACATCAGGCTGCATCGTAGCCGCATCCCGCATCGCACCGCATCTCGCATCTCAACGCATCCCACCGCATCCCCTTCCGCCAACTTTTTTTTTTATTTTGCCCCTCGGGGAGGGGCAAAATAGTATTTTTGACCATCCAAAAATGGGGAAAACTGTTTAGGGGGGTACGGACCCCTCTAAACGACGATTTCCAGATACTTTTGTGGCTTTTTTAGCATCAAATCGAGGGAAAAAAAATTGGCAGAAATTTATTTTTCATTCAAATCTTTGACTTGGCGGTTGTTTGATACTTGGATGTTGATTTGATGCTTTTGATTGTTAATTTGGGGATGTTAGGGTGAATTTGTGATAAGAAATCGAGGGGCAAAATTTGACTTCAAATTAAATTTACTCTCAAAATGGATGATTGTATTAAGTTATTAGCTATTAACTCTTCTTGAGCTTGACTTTTGGTTTGTAATATCATTGTTTTGTGCTTATGGTGGTGCTTATGGTTGTTTATGGTTGTGCTTATGGTTGTTGATGGTTGTGCTTTTGTGCTTATGGTTGTGCTTATAGTGCAAATTTGTGCTTATGGTTGTTGATTGTTGATTGTCGAATGTTTTATGAAGCTAGTTTCTAGTTTCTAGTTTCTATCAGGGGATAGTGGATAACTGGATACAAAATCTACGACAGCTAATAATTTTGAAGTTAATCATTAAACTAAAATATCTAATATCACATATATCACCTCCATATTTTTTTCTATGTATTAACCTATTTTTTTTAGATTTTTTCGAATTTTTTTATATTTATTGACCGCATCGTCGCGATGCACCTGCATCGAGTCCCATCGCCGCATCGCCCCACCGCTTTTGGCCACATCTCGCATTTTAGAACACTGCTCCACCCAACCCCCATCTGCCTTCACAATTCTCCCCATCCCTTTACCAGATAATCCCTTTGCTTTAGTACAACATTTGCAAGCCCAAAACTCCTATATTTGGTGCCCCACAACCCTGGTTTTTCCCCCCTACTTTTTGCCTTAATGGGTGGAATCCCTAATCCCCAGCCTCAACCTCCTCTTCCAAGTATCTTGGGTTCCCCCTTCCTTGGCTAGATGGCAACCCCATCCTACTAAAATACCACCTCCTAACCCCCTATCCATCACCACCTGTCTTATGCCCTAAAGGCCCTACATAATGCATCCAAGACCCATCTCCCTGCGGCGCCCTGTTTATTCCTTCTCCAATTGTGGATCAACAATGATAGGCTTTATCTGCCCCCATCCTCTCCTTTGGGTCCAATAATCCCCCACCCACATCTACTCTCTGATAATGGCAACCCAACCCCTACCCCCTCTTAGCAATCATTCCACTCCCTTCATTGCACTTTGAAGCACCAAAATCCTCTACAATCTTGTGACCCTTGCTTCTAGCCCCTGATCAGCCTATCCCCATACCAGTTCAAGCCTTAACCTCTCATACAGCCTATCACTCGAGCCCCTCCTTGAGGACTTCCAACCTGAAACTTAGAGATGACCTTGGATACCCACCCATTTCATCCTATTGAGACTTCAAGTCCTCATTAGGGTTGGAGGTGGAGTAACTTCATTTAGTGGAAGCAAAATACATAGAAGGGGTCGATAGTGCTAAGAGAGACATCAACAAAGTCCTCAAGGCAATGGGCTTCCAATAGGATGGGCCTCAGTTGGATATAGTGACTTCCTTAAAGCTGATGCACAAACAACGACCTTGAAAAGAGACGAGAGTGTTAACCAATCTCTCTTTTGGGGTTAGATATGA